CGGATTTCCCTTCCATAGAAGTCACAAAGGGAAGGCCACACAATGAGCAACATTTCAATAGGTATATGACCAGCTTTAAAGTTTCATTTGACTTTAAAATGTTTATTTGGACCAAGCTGGTTCAAACAAACTATTTATTTCACTAACAGGTACAGCAGCTGGGAGCACTGTATAAATTGTATGTAGACTCAGCTACATACAACGCAGTGCTCCAATAGCGGAACTAGAACTTCCAGCCCAGCGCTCAGAACAAAAACTGAGTCGGGCTGTTGGACTCTATTGAGTGGCAGCAGTCATCAACTGAGACTTATTATGTTTATTGTGTTTGCGATCACACCCATTAGTACAAACCTGGATGAAGCAAGGATAGAGTTAGGCAAGTTGCAATTGAATTGTGATACTTATGTCCACATTTTATTATCACACTGCTCCATCATAAGTGACACTATCCAAATAAGAATGGACATGCTGCCTTTCAATAATATTCATCTGTTAATACTTAGTATTTTAAAACCATAATATTTCACACTTCTGTTAGGAAATACATACTAGTTGCAATGAGACACGACAGCATTCTATGTATCTCCAGTCCTGCAATCACAGTTTACTGTACCTGCATATCCCCACAGAAGCTGTTTTGCTACAATGTAATATCACACTATTAAGAACATGATATACGAGGGATACATATTTTGACAAAGACCTAATTAAAGTGCATTAGTCAGTAACATATGTAAATGCACACAGTAACATAACAAAATGTAAATGCATTCAAGTATATATACTCTTCTTTTCTTTCAAAAGGCCTTGAAGCCTTTGGTGCCATACAATAAAAATACTAAAACCTAAGACTAATACTAAGAAAAGTTTCAGTACTTAAATATTAGAGCACACTGGGATTCAGGGCACCTTAGCTGTTTAGGACAGTGTTTCTCAATCTTCTTCCAGTCAGGGCGCATTTGAAAATTATCATTCTCAAGGCACCCTAGTTAAGGGTTGGTTCACACGACTACATGTTGGGGAATTCGCACAAACGTGCGTGCATTCCCAACGTGCACACAAATGCACTACTCTTTAGCAGAGGTGCGATTAATTCCTAATGTTACCCCCATATATTAGCAAACGCAGTTCGTTTTCGGTGTGGCGCAAAATAAAAAAAAAATGGTTTGGGGACTAGGGCCAGTTCATACCAGAACACGGTACGGGAAAGGAGCGCTTGCGATTTGCATGTAGGTGCCAATGCATTGTAAACGGCATCCCAAACACAGATCACAAATGCAGTGTGTTTGAAGGCACCAGATTGCATTCAAATGAATGGGCTGCAAAATCACACTGCATGTTCCCCTCTCTGCTAACCTCTGCACCCCAAACTCCTCTTTGCTCACCTCTACACCCCCCTCTCTGCTCACCTCCACACCCAAAACCCCTCTTTGCTCACCTCCAAACCCCCCTCTAGGCTCACCTTCAAACCCCCGACGCTTCTCTGCTTACCTCCACACCCCAAACCCCTCTTTGCTCACCTCCACACCCCAAAACCCCCTATCTGCTCACCTTCACATGCCAAACCCCTCTCTGCTCACCACTACACTCCAAAATCCTCTTTGCTCACCTCCAAACCCCCCTCTGTTCACCTTCACACCCTCAACACCTCTGTGCTTACTTTCACACCCCAAAAATCTCTCTGCTCACCTCCTCACCCCCCTCTCTGCGCTCACCTCTACACCCCAAACTGCTTTCTGCTCACCTCCACACTCCAAAAACCTCCTCTCTGCTAACCTCCACACCCCCCACTCTGCTCACCTCTATACCCCAAATCCCTCTTTGCTCACCTCCACACCCCTCTCTCTGCTCAATTCCACGCCCCAAACCCCTCTCTGCTCACCTCCACACTTCCCTCTCTGGTCACTTGCACGCCCCAAACCCCTTTCTGCTCACCTCCACACTTCCCTCTCTGCTCACTTGCACGCCCCAAACCCCTCTCTGCTAACATCCACACTTCCCTCTCTGCTCACATCCACATCACCCACTGTGCTCAGCTCCACACCACAAAACCCTGTTAGCACTCCTATGTACACCACTCTCTCTGCTAAACGCTACAAGCTAACCTCCACCCTCCCTTCTGATCCCCTCTGTGCCCTGCTTTCCAATCACCAGTGCCTCGGGTCAGGCCGTTCTTATATTGAAATCCACACAGCTGTGGGCGGTGCTGGCCAGGTACTGTCCTGTAGGGGGAGGCGGAGAGCTCAGGATTCAAAAAGCTGCCTCCCCCCGCCACTGCTTTGCACTGCACTGTGCTGACCGAGCGCTTGCTCTTGTAATATTCGGGCAGAGTGGGAGTTCGGTCGGGTCTGACAGCTTTTTCAAGCACGATGCCCTGGCACCCGAGGACCTCAGGCGGCACCCCAGCTGGTTTAGGAAGAGGTATAAACCATCTGTGCAAAAATGAAGGGGTCTATATAGAAAAAAAAAACAGCTGACACAAATAATCCCTGTAATGTGTCTAAGATTGTAAGCTCCAAGGAGCAGGGCCCTCCTAACTCTCTTGTATTGAACTATATCGTTGCTGTATTGTCTCCCGTTATATTGTAAAGCGCTGAGCAAACTGTTGGCGCTATATAAATCCTGTATAATAATAATAATAATAACGTGTATATTTTCCATTATCAGCAGCTCCATTTAGTGGCCATATTGCAGTATTTTCCTAACTGCGGTATTTCAGGAAAATACCACATTATGGTCACTAGACAAAACTGACAATCACGGGAAATACATATAACAGACACATGCTGAGACATTTGCACAGCATTTTTTTAAAAATAGATCCCTAAGTGTCTGTAATGTAGTCTTCGACCCAGGTTACAATATTTCTCATACAGACAGGTGAAATTAAAGGTCATTTGAAAGTAAACATAGCAAAATACATATAAATAATTTACTGCTAATGTCCAGACTATAGATAACCTTTACATATTCTTTACAAAAAGTAAAGAACTTTAAAACAAGCCCCCTCTAGCTGCTTTTAATGTGAAGTTATTAATTGAGATCCTCACAAATCCTAAAGCTGGCGATCAATGTTAAAATTATAAAGGGCCTCAAGTGTGGCCCCAACACTTCCACAGGGCCTCACAATAGCAGCACATTTGTGTGCACTGAGGTGCACTGCGTCCAATTAGCCAGCCCATTCAAAATAAATGGGGTATAGTGCTTTTTAAAACCTTTCAACATTGCAGTTCTGCCACATTTTGTACAGCATACCACAATGCACACTGAGTTAGTTGGAGTTCAACAGCCCCAGCATTCGTATCAACAATCATAATCTCCAATGTAGGTGTCAATGGATACAATAATATTCCCCCAGCATACTGGTGTCAGTACTATTAACCCCCCATTCCCCCTGACAAATTTTTGTCAGTGGCAGTGAAAGTTAACCTTCACACATTCCCTCCGTATTGGTGATCAATGGCAGTGAATGTTATCGCCCTCCCATCATTGGTAGTCAGTGGCAATCAAGTTAACCACCCTCCCTCCGGAATTGGTGGTCAGTGACAGTGAGAAAACCACATTGGTGGTCAGTGGCAGTGAAAATTAACCCCCCCCCCCATTGTTGGTCATTATTTTACCACATGCTCCCGCAACGCTCTTTCGCCCCAGGCTGGGGACTTTACTTGTGCTGTGGGTGAAGATCCCTCTGCCTCACAGTAGTCTTTCTTTCAGTGCTGGAATGCAGACAGTGTTCCAGTGCTTGACATCCCGCTGCCACTATGCTGCCTAAATGGTGTCCAAAAGCTTGCGGGTCGCATGTTGGGCACCAGGGGCCTAGAAACACCTGCTATTTGTCTACATTTGAAAGCTAGCAGGCTGCCAAGATTCAGCTCTCCATAAAAAAGCTGAGATTTAAATAACTTTGTATCTGTAGGCACTGGGGAGAAATTAATCTTCAGAGTTACAGCAAAGATATATGAGTGCTTCTTTTAGGCTTTTTCCTAAGCGTTCAGAATATGTAAATACTTTAGGCTTCTTGCACACAGAGTATTTCACACAGTACAGCGTTCAGCCCAATCCAGCTGCAGCCGCCAAAGACTTTGACAGGTTGCCTTCAGTGGGGCTGGATATTGCTGAGACACTGTCCAGCTGGACGGCTCCATGAAGAAGGGGTCTTTGTTTGCACGATCTAGGCACAAGTTCACTTTAGGTATTAGGAATCAGGTAAGAGAAAGGTCATATTGTAATTAAATATTTTAAAATGACCTCTTCTTTTCAATCTGCAGTGCCGTAATTTTCTGTAAAATGCAATGCAATATGGAAACCTGGTGGTGTTCTGGTACAGATGGTGTACATAACGCCACTCCCCCCCCAAACACCCCGAAATATCACTTTCTGCTTGTGTGATTTGCTTACCGATTTTGTGACCCCCTGCAACAAAAATATCACTTTTGGGTGAGATATTCCCAAAGGGAAATTACATCTAAAGGGAGGTACTCTTTAAAATGGATGTAATGCCATATCTTTTTTTTTAAGGGAGGGTTTAAATCTCCTTTCAGTTTATTTTTATGCCTGTGTCCCACTAGGAGATGCAGAAAAAATCTCAACAAAGTGAGGGCGATTCTTCCCATTAGTGACACAAACCACAATGAAAAATTTACAGAGGTCCAAAAAAAAAGATTTGATCCCATTGTCATATTAGTATTTTGAGTTATGACTATGAGATCTTAGATTACTACTTGTTTATACCTGTTGTTGAGAGTTTTATGATAGATATATATATATATATATATATATATATATACACACATACATATATATATACACACACACATATAAAGTCTATTTGCAATTTAACTCTTTTTCTAGTGATTTCAACTTTTTTTACAACAGAATAGTTGGTAGTGAGTGCTCAAACATTTTTTTCAGTGTGGTTTCACTTGGAAAAACAAATTAAATTTTTAATCACACTTTGGATGAAAACCTTCACAAAAAGAAAACTATTTAGAGTCTATTACCTCGACTTATTGCTGCTTCCTTCAAAGCAGTCAAAATGTTAGGCTTTAAGTCTTCAGAAAGAAGCCTTCCTTCCAGACCAGGGAATAGTGCCCTAAACGAAAAAAAAAAATGAAATTATTTCACATATTGTTATAGAGATGCATTTGTGTTTTCTTAAACAAACTACTTGTTTTTAAAATGTCTACTGAGCAGAATCAATTTAAAGTGGAACTACATGTATACAGCAAAGAACACAACTGAAATACAAATGTTTGAACTGTTTTACCGTCAACGGCATTTGAAATGTTGGTCATCCATTCTTGTCATTTGAGAGTTGCTGATAGACAGCATAGGCAAGTTCTTTGTGATACATTATACATGACCTCAAATAGCAGTGAGACAGTCCATCATTAAGTGTTCTTGGCAAGACCACTTACTGTTATCTCACATATATTCTTATTATTATAGCCAAATTTACCACCCTAACTCCTCCCACAGTTTTTACACTACATAGACAGTAATATACTGAAACGTGCGGATTGTTCCCGATTGGTGTGCTATTACTTTGTGGAACGTTTCGCCGAATTGTTCACGAAATATCAGTGTTTTTGTGGTGAAATTGGTCCCATAGGAATGAATGGTGGAATGTTCAAAACTAGAGTGGGAACTGACAAAAGCTAGAGTGTGAGCAGAAAAATCAGGACATGATTTCTAAACTGCCACCACTCCCTCATTTTCAAGCCCACCTACACAAATCTTATATCAAAACGTTCAGCAATCCCTGCTGCCATTAAAAATGCCCACGGCTAAGTCATAGTCCTGATAGTTTTCACAATAGGACCATTTGTTTGCAACTCACGCCGCCCATTGACATTCATTGAAACTCCACTCTAGCCACCTTAAATTTGAAGGGCAATTTCTAAACTGCGACTGTGCCTTCATTTTTAATATTTCAGAGACATACTATGCATCAAAATGTAGGTCTGGGTCTTGTGATTCTCACAATATAAAGCTCTTCGGTGTAGAATTTATAATTAAACTACAACCATTTGAAGATGGCAACCGCCAGTGAAGTGAGCAAGTTGGAGCAGTTTGTTTTTAACCGCTCTTCTCTGTCCTTCCTGTAGAGTGAATTGCCATAGGAACCCAGGTGTGTGAGCAGGCAGCAGAGTGACAAAAGCTAGTGTGAGTTGTAGACTACTGGTGGAGGCAAGAACACTTCACACAATTTCCCCACAAATTGTAGCTTTTCTAGTTGTATATATATTCCTATAGAGGATGACGTTTCACTATGTTCATAGCAATAATACCGCATCTGACTTCCTCCTCACACAGCTTTCTGAATCAGTGAGAAACAGCCTGCAGAGTGATGCCACAGCTGCTGATCACCTCTGTGGTCCAATGCAGGGACTAAAGACCCAGTATTAACATGTGAGCCAAGCACCTAGCATCTTCTGAAGAAACTAAAAAATGCATATAGTGTTGTGCTGCCAATTCAAAAATGAGAAAAAATACAAAAATACAATACAATACAATACACCTTCCCCACTGGGTGTAATCCTATTGTGCAAATAATAAATATATGACTAAATTTACTAAATTGAAATAAATTGTGTGAATAACTAAATGCTGTACAATACATGTGCTTGCAGACAAATTAGATAAATAAAATGCTCCAAAATACATCCTCCACTGTTGGTCTTAGCTATGTGTACTTAGTGTAAAACAAAAACCCAATAAACTCAGTGAATCAGTCCAAGTTTAAAAACAAACACCAACTAAATAGTCCGCTGGGACCATAATGCCTCTTAATACCAACAAAACACAAATCATTATTACAAACAATATAAACCAGTTACCATATCAATATTTATTGCAAATACCTTTACTTCTAGATACAGTATTCATGTGACGCACTTCCCTTCCTCTCCTGAGTCAATATTGGTGCATTGTGATTGGTCCTAGGCTGTAACTTGGGGTGTGGGGAGCAAGTCTTCAGCCCTATATAAGCTCTGACTGGCATCAACTGAGAGCTTACATGGGGCATGTAGTCCTTGCTCCCAGAGGCAGACAGTGTAGTAGGGGAAGTGAAAAGCGTATTAGTATAAGCAGCTCCTGGCGGCAGATTAAACACTTCCCGCCAGTTGTATAAATAGATGCGGGCTCTTGGCAGGTGGACTTTAAACGGCGAGGGGCTGCATATATAGATCCCCTTAGGTAAACACTTTACTGTGCTGAGAATGCGCTCTCAGCAGAGTAGTGAGCAGGTACCGTAAAGCTCTCGATGCACTATAATGATTGGGAGTTCTCCGATCATGTGACTGCCACTCACAGCGGTCACATGATCCTGTAAAAGGGCAGGGAGGTGGCAGCAGGAAGGGGTTAAAATGCACTTGGTGCCTGGTCCTGCATGGGCAATGAATAAGCTTGCTATTTATTTTTTTTAGAAAGCAACAAAGAACACGAAAACAAAAACAGGTAAACAGAACAAAAGAACAATTCAATAACACAAAAGTGCCAATATCACAGTTATACCTTGGGAACTCCTCTGAGGTGATGTAAACAACATCCTTATCAGATACAGATGAAGAGAAAGAAATAAAATTCTCATTTTGCAGAGGAAGCATTTCTAATCCTATAAGTTCACTGTAGTTCTCATCACTGAGTATGAACTCAAGGAGGTGAAGTTTCTCATGTTTAGGTCCCTTATGTGCACATTTCCTCAACACCTGGCGGACAAGAGCTGGGGTGACCTTCTTCACTGGTTTAGAATTATTTAACGGGATCTGGAATGCAGCAGCAACATTTACCGGTACCTTGGCAATGTGAGTCCCTGAGTTCTGGAGGTAGTTCAGGATGGTTTTTGTGTACTCTTTGCTTTCATCTATCTCGATGAAGTTGACATCACATTCTTTTAACCAGCACTTCTTGGTGGAGAAAATCACTGCATTCTGGAATAACATTTTCATTAGCGGTTCTATGATGGGTTTCCAGTGTGTCTTAATCTTGTCCACCTCTGGCCATACTCTGTAGATACTTTCAGAGGAGAGAGGGAAGTCTGGATTCTCTTCGGTCTCCATTCTCTTAATGGCTTCTAAGATAAGAGTGGCATATGCTTTTGGGACAACATTCTTGACAAGAAGTTCATTCCAAAGAGCAGCAGGATCCCGCCACTGGTCCAGTTCTCTCCATTTGATACTCCTACGGTTGTCCGTTAAGCCAAAGAAACCACTGATGTGAACTGGAAGACCTGTTTTACTTTCATCTCCTGGAGGTAAAGGAAGAAAGCAAAAGGCCCTTCCAACAAACTCTGACTCAGCTCCCTTTTCCTCACCATTGCTCCATAAAGGCATGGCAATTCCAATAGCAGGGACAAATTTGAGGTCATCAGCAAGGCAGTCTAATTCATTGCATATGCCACGGCCTCCCACACTGTTGCATACCAACCAAGAGGAAGTTTGTGTTTCCTTGACACTTTCATCCTCAACAACAATATTTACATGATATGTAACACAAGTTATACTATTGCTTGGTACACCTTTGCAGTAGCCATCAATTGACGAGCCAAGAATCTTAATAGAGTTGGGTCTATCATGTTTTAGAAGCTTGTTCTCGCTAGCTGTAACCCGAAAAACTAGCTTTTCAGAGCCATCTGCTTCTCTTATGTGAAGAGAGACATTCTGGACATTCTTTAGAAACAGAAGAACGGTGTCTGCATCAGCTCTGAAGGATTCATAGAGTTCTAGAACCTTTTCTTTATTGTACAAATTGCTACTTAGCAAAGAGGGTTGGACACGGAGAGGGAATCTGAAGAAGGTTCCTTGGAAAAAACCTTCTGCAAAGGTTTCTTTAGTGCTTCCGAAAATGTTAACAAATGGGGCAAATTGGTCCTCGAGTTCACTTATTTCTTTGCTGTCCTCTTTAATGTTCCAACACTGGCCTGACTCATGGCGTCCAAAGAGTACCTGGTGTGGATCCAACATCCCAATTTGATCTCCACTAAAAATACTGGGAACATCTGTAAATGTAAAAAAATAAACATCTTTATGTGTCATCAGATTTAGATTAGCAACAATAAGCTTTTTTTATCAGTTCAAAAACAGAAGTAAATATTTGATCTTGTAATTAAGAGGTAAATTTGATACACTTATTTTCTTTAAGTAGGATGCTATTTTGCACTGAAGTCAATAGGGGGCATTTTTGCATTGAAGTCAAAGGGATGCGGTTTTGCACTGAAGTCAATGGGACACAATTTTGTATTAAAGTCAATGGTACACTATTTTGCACTGAAGTCAATCGGACACTATTTTGCATTGAAGTATATTATCATTATCGACAATTTTTTTCTTTTTCCTATTGGCAAAATGCCAATAACCCTATGTTCGACTGATATATCGGTGCATCACTAGTATACATAGAGAGCCCTTGTGTCCTCTTTCCCTTTTTTCACCCAAGCTCCCTCCCACCATGCCCCTTTTACTCCTCTTCACCCTCTTACAACATCCTTACTTACGCATGCTCTACTCTTCTTTTGCACAGTTTTTGAGATAGACCACATCACCTCGCCCCTTTTATTTCTTCTCATTTCTTCCCCTGTCACTATTCATGCCACTACCCATATCTTGCTGATAGCTGACTACCTTCCAAGATGCAAAAATGACTAGCCCTTGACAACTGGAGTGGGAGTAATCTCCCTCATAACCTAGAGTAGACGATCTGTCCCAGCATTTATTGGTTTGAACCTTTAGCATATTGGTTCATTGCATTTTGGGTACATAAGTTCTTGTATGCTTGTCCTTACCATGAATACAAATATGGCCCTGTACTGTTCACTCTTACTATCCTGGTAACGGACTATCAAATATATGACAGCATATTTTTCTGTGACTGTAAATTTCTTTTAAAATCTACAATAACTCATTGCATGTTAAAAACAATTAGGCTCTGGGAAGAGTTCTCAGAAGTTGTTGCACACAAAGAGCAGTAGGAGTTCCAAGAGTGACCGCAGCAGCAGGAGTCTTATAATGTCCACTTTATCAACTTTTTCACATAAGTTCACACAGGTTTTTCAATGGCTCAAAGCGCTTAGATGTTGGGTCAGTGAAGATATTCAATCTAAAATTATATTTTTTTCCATTCATAAACTGGTGTTCCAAAGCTTACCTCCAGGCACATATGCTTTTCTGGAGGATAGCTGTATGCATTATTTATTGCTTTTCATAAGATACAAACATATAGGAACATTAGAGCAAACTTAAGGCACAACACGATATGACAGCCCTCATATAAGAATCAGTATAGAAATCAAGTTTCAAGTACATAAGAGGTTCAAGCAATAATTACTTATTGAATGGGAGACTACAAAACAAAAAGATACAACTACAGTGTGTTGAAGATGCACTCAGATTATTGTCTACTATTCTCAGCATGGTAGGCCGCTGTCTTGGAGGTATATACCAGCAATAAATAGGTATGTATCTTAGCAAATTGATGGAGAAGAACAAAGAAAGGTAGGAAAGAGTGAAATAAGTAGGGGGAAAAAATAAGGAAAAGATGGTAAAAGCAATAAAAAAAGAGATAAAATGCAGGTATAGATTGCACAGGGATAGGAGTAGGGAAGGGTGGAGGGCAGGGAGTTCAGGGTGCACTGGACATAGGGTGGAACCCAAGATATTTTGAAATTAACCGTAGCTGATGTGTTAATATTGCTTTTTACATTTTTTTTTATTTATGGATGCACAGAAATATACAAAGAAATATAAGAATTAAATAGCTTGTGTGAAAAAAAAATATTACATCCCAAAAGAGAAATACAAGACGATCATATGAAATAATGGTATCAGTTCTGAGAAATCAAACAGGTGGAATCTCAGTGATCCAAAAGGTGAGTCCCTACAAAATAGAAAGTTTTAGGGTGGGAACATCGAGTGGCATTGTAGAGACATAAAACCATCAGTCACAATCTCTGACAGCGTTTGCCATGGAAGTATGCATCTGTGATCTTTGTTATTTTTTGAATAGATAAAAATTACCAAAAGACGGAAAAAAAATGAAGAGTAACGGGGGAAGAGAAAAAAAAGGGGGGGGGGGATGACTTTTTAAGAGGTCCTGTCAATGACACTATGGCACATTTGCATTTGTATTTAGTAGCTAGACAGATACCTTAAGCATCACCATAGTTGTAAAGCAACTTTGTAAGCAACAACAAAAAATATAGTTTATCTTGCTACCCAACTATTATAATGACAGACACTTCATACCTGTTATATGGTACACAGAGTTGAAGCCAATTCCAAACCTTCCAACCTTCAGGGGGTCATCTTTTTTCCTACTTCTTGCAATTTCTTGAATTCCGTGCCAGTCTTCAGAGGTGAAAACTGCATTATTGTATACATAAAGTGCAGGTCCTAAAAACAGAAAAGCATATACTGAGTTAGTAAAATAGTATTCAGGACACGTAAAAATGGTACAGTACTGTCATTCTGTCATGACCCTCCTTCATTCCTGGAGGATATGCGGCTAGAAGGCACTACTAAAAGCAGCTCATGTCCAAATCCTGGGTCTCATATTACTTGTGGAGTAGTAAAGCCATTTTAGCTTTACTGGACTTGGCAATCTGTATTCAGCCTGAGAGATGGACAATGGTCATCTCTAGTGGAAGATATCTGTCGTCTTCTTAGACATGTGTGAAGAGCCATCATACGTCATCAGCCCATCTTTTATCAGGTTTGGGGGCATGGCAGTATTCATACACTGGGCAATCAGTGGGTATATTAAACCAATGGAATACGAATATAAACTCAATCATGGAGATGTAATAGATAAAGAGGAATATTTTACAGTAACCAATCATTAACTCCAATAGCTCTATTGGTTCCAGCAGGCCAAACAGATGACATTTTGTTGAAGCGGGCACAGGCAAGCATGCGACTTGCAACAAATGCTGGGGTAGGACACCGTGCCTAATAAGTGCTAATATGCATCCATGATCATCTAGACACCATTTGCTGACAGTGCATCACCTAAGAGAACATTCTGACTGGCACAATAAGAAAGGCACCCCAGTCACCAGTTGGTACATACCATAATGCAGCAGCCTGCTGAAAAACAATAATGTTTAAATCTCACATCTTATGCAAGTTCACATAGTAACAGGTAAAACAATTCTCAGCACATTGTGTTCATTGATGTGGATGTTTTGTTGCACAAATGCTTTTATGGTAAACCTACCTTGATACTGGGCCATTTCTTTTGAGAAAAGAGATCCAGTGCCATGATGTGTTTCATCAAAGAGAAATTTCACTTCACTGGCACCAGCGTCCTCTGCATTCTGAATCAGCTCCTATGGTAATACAATAATAATTTATGAGGTTCATTACATTTATTGTAACAACTTACTGTGCATTACACACTGTTCTAATCCAGCCTTCCATTATGAAAAATCTAAGAACTAATATCTTATAATTATATAAAAATCACTGCTCTGACTAAAGGTCCTGGCAAACAACTTAACATACAATTCAAATACATACAGGTTAACTGTTTTAGTTGCCAAACAATTTGTAACCTGCTAAAGTCAGTCTCTTGTGATGCAGGCCTCCGCAGTAGACGGTACAGCTAGCCCAGTCAGTTCACTTATATACAGTACAGTATTCGCCAAGATTCTATACATAATTAGCAGAAAGCTACATAAAGAGATTATTTTCACCATTCCCTAGTTCAACACACAGGCCCCAGAGTGCAGCCATAGCTAGAGATGATCGGATATGTCACGTGACCAGGAAAATTGCAGCATTATTTGACTAGCAATGCCACAATGTGCCGCAAAGCAGGTGGAGTTGGAAATGTCAAACCAAAAACAGAACGCATATGTCACTTGCTTCACACAAGTCGGAAATAAAGGTCACTTGCCTTTCTAACTGTCCTTCCTGTTCATTGGCCAGGGTGAGATGACGTCACTCCTGTGCATGTGCAGGATCTAGTCAAGCAGCCACACAGGATCAGCCTGGCTGCTGTAAGCTGAGCTGCACACACGGGGATCACTGTGATCAGGCAGGTAGGTATAGTTTTTTGCACTGCATGTCTCTTCTGCAGTAAAAAGCCTGAAAACTCATAGTGAGGTTCAGCAGAACTTTAGTTCCGCTTTAAGGGTAAAAAAAAAATTTGTGTTTTAGAATTACTTTTTTTTCATGCAAAGTCTACTTCACCTGTATGTTGATCATCCAAGAAAAATATTAAACGATTTGCTATTACCAGTATCCCAGTTTCTCGCTAACTGACAAGTCATACAGCACAGGAAGAGGATTGTCACCTTTAGAATTTGTCCTCCTTCTGGGTATCTCCTTAGAATATCCTTGAGGAAGTCAACGAGTGGAGGAGTTGTTTGTCCAAATTTGCCTGTCACAAAAAAAAAACACAAACATTACTAAATTGTATACAGAGCAGAAAAGGACCATGCATGATTTCTATGGAAATCTGTGGAAGGCTCTTGCATCACAACACATTTTTATTCACTGTGAGGTACAAGTGTGAGAGAAGGGAGAAATTTTAATAAATACACTATACTAAACAAATGTATACTTTTACATCTCTCAATTTTTGCTTTTTGTTTTTTTTATTTACAGTTTGTATTTTTAGATATATCATTTTACATTTTTTCCCTAAAATATTCCATAGGATAAGAAACTGAAGAGTACTAAAGAGGTTTTTGTAGCTTCAAGATTGGCCCAAGTCCTATCAACCAGGGCTAGCTGGAATTAAAGTGTATCTAAACCCTAAAACAAAAATTTTAGAATTTTCAGATTACTGGTACTTTTCTTTTTAAGCCCTCTATTTATTTTCACTGGGTAATTCTGTGAATAACACATTTACTTTCTCTGGGTGGCTACATGCACGTCCCCTCCCCTATATGCTGTATATGGAGAAAGCCATGGTCACCACACAGGCTGGACTTCACACGTGAATCTATCTTTGTTCATCTGTATTACTTGGGGGATGATGGTATTAGTAGTTTATACAAATAAGATAAAATACAGTGGGGAAAATAATTTTTTGATCCCCTGAAGATTTTCTAAGTTTGCCTACTTACAAAGAAATGAAGGGTCTTTAGTTTTCATCATAGGTGTATTTTAAATGATAGAGACAAAATATCAACCAGAAGTCCAGAAAAGACACAAAATGTTAGAAAAATCAGTGAGTAAATAGGTATTTGATCCCCACGACTTGGTACTTGGTGGAAAAACCCTTTCTGGCAAGCACAGAGGTAAGACGTTTCTTGTAGTTGGTTACCCGGTTTGCACACATCTCAGGGGGGATTTTGGTCCACTCTTCTTTACAGATCTTCTCTAAATCCCTAAAGGTTCATTTTTTTTTTTTTTTGTAAAATAACAAACACGTCTATATTTAACTGCTGTGTGCAGTGGTTTTGCACAGAGCAGCCTGTAGCCTCCTCTTCTTGGGTCCCCCACAGGCTCTCCTGGCTCCTCCTGTCTGTCGGGTACCACCCAGAAAGCAGCTTGCTATCGGGGCACCCGCTGCTCCATGTGGCCATTCATACACAGAGCCATGGCTTGGCCGTGCCCCTGTGAGCTGAGGCTGTCATTCACATCACTGGATCGCGATGAGGCTCAGGTAAGTAATGAGGAGGCTGGGGGAGCTGCTGCACACTGAAGGTTTTTTACCTTCATGCATAGAATGTATGAAGGTAAAAAACATCAAGCCTTTAGAACCACTTTAAGGTGTCTTAGCTGTCACTTGGCAACCTGAAGTTATAGCTCCTTCCATAAATTTTCTATAGGATTAAGGTCTGGAGACTGGCTAGGCCACTCATGAGCTTAATGTGCTTCTTCATGAGCCACTCCTTTGTTGCCTTGGTGGTATGTTTTTGATCATTGTCATGCTGGAAGACCCATCCATGACCCATCTTCAGTGTTCTGGCTGATGGAAGAAGGTTCTCATCCAAGATTTTACAATACATGGCCCCGTCCATTGGCTCCTCAATGCGGCAATGTCGGCCTGTACCTTTAGCAGAGAAACAGCCCCAAAGTATAATGCTTTCACCTCCGTGCTTGAAGCTGTAGGGATGGTGATCCTAGGGTCATAGTGAGCATTTTTCTTCCTCCAAACACGGCGAGTCGAGTTAATGCCAAAAAACTAAATTTTGGTCTCATCTGACCACAACACTTTCTCCCAATCCCTCTCTGAATCATTTAGACGTTCACTGGCAAACTTCAGATGGGCCTGTACATGTGCATTCTTTAGGGGGACCTTGTGGACGCTGCAGGGTTTCAGTCCATGGCAGCGTATTGTGTTACCAATGGTTTGTTTGGTGACTGTAGTCCAAACTGCCTTGAGATCATTCACAAGCTCCTCCCATGTAGGTCTGGGCTGATCCATCACTTTCTCATGATCACCCTTACCCCATGAGGCGAAATCTTGCATGTAATATTTTACCCCATGAAGCGAAATCTTGCATGGAGCTCCAGACTGAGGGCGACTGATGGGTATTTTGTATTTCTTCCATTTGTGAATAATCACTCCAACTGTTGTCTCCTTCTCACCAAGGAACTCTCCTTCTGCTCAAAGAACTTTGTACAGAAAAAAATATTGTGGCTGTAATTACTAACCACCTCCTAAACATACTAGTTACCTGCATGTGTCCAGCTTTTTGAGCTGACGCTGTAACAGACATGCACATCAGAAACGTCAAAGTGAAATCAGGGGTCCTATTCTGCATTTGTGTCCTGAGTCAACAGCTGTATACGAATTGAAGGCAAGGAATCAGCATGGAAGCCAGGCAGCTAACATATTCAAAAGTCAGCAGTGGCAGTCTCTGTACTTTTTACAAACATGTATCTTTTAAGTCTTGATATGATGGATAAGCATACAGCAATAGTACTGAATTTCTTTGTTAACAATTGGCACCAGCACCTCCCAGCCTTTTTTTAGATGCTGGGAGACGGGGTAGGGTTTGGCTATCACAGAAGTCACATGATCGGAGCTTTCCATTACCCGTCGGTAACTGTGTCGGGAATGTGCACGGTGCGTGCTCTCGGCAAAGTTCTGTCTTTGTTTGGGTACGCATGTTTATGGCCTCTCAGCGTTAAGGTCCACCCACTGGAAGGCTGCACATATCCCGACAGACTAGTTTTTTTTTTAGAAGCATCCAGCCTGAGCTCTTATCCTTTAAGAGATCATGAGATCACATGTCTAGATCTTTAGTTGTCAACAGTCAAGTGGAATCTTGGACCAACAATTTTCTTTAGCAAAAATATTTAAACTCTCTCATCAACCACCCAAGCAAATCTCTCATCATAGGTCTACAATAACATTCTTTTGCACACAAGGTTAAAAAATAATTTTAGGCCTGAAGATTACATAAAACCTCCAAAATATTATATATTTTCTGAAAACAGACACCCTGGAGAATAAAATAGTGTAGTTCCAATTTTTTTATGTCACACAATACTACCGCAAAGATTTAGGAAATGCAAAATTTCAGTAAAAATTACACTAAAGTTAATTTTAGGGCACACAAACGCAAAAAAATACCCAATTTTTTGGTAAAATATAAAAGATGAGGTTGCACCTAGTAAATAAATACTCAACATGTCAAATTTGCGTGCACCCCTGAAATGGTGACCCTATATTTTGCATATGTGGCACATGAAAAGCCCCCTATAGGTCATCAGTTTAGCATTACAGGGGAGGTCTTGTGATAGAAATAAAGGTCTCACTCCAGCGTGCATGGTGATATGTAACATCTGTATTGTAGTCAAAGTTTTCATGCATAGGAGCCCCTGACGTTTAAGTTCATATGTGCATATATATGTGGGGGGTAGGGGCCTCAAAAAATTGGGGGGGGGGGATTTTATGTAATTTTTTAAAAATTTAAAAAAAAATATTTTTATTTAACTTTTTTCATCACATAGGGGACAAAATGTCTGCTATGTAATGATTTTTTGGTGACAGGTTCTCTTTAAAGAGACATCCGGGGTCTAAAAGACCCCGGATGTCTCCCCTGTATTTCACTGAATGTAATACAGTACAGTTCGCTCTACATCACATTCTTTCCTGGCTATACTGGCTGGGGAAACTGACGAGAGACCCAGAAGTGACATTTTACATGTCACTTCCAGGCTAGCATTAAGAAGGGGAAGAGAGCTGACACGTGTCCGGTGTCCGCTCAGATCCCTCCCCCCTTTCCAGAAGCACCAGCTATGCCGGTCCAGAGCATGCAGATGGGCAAGCAGAGCCCAGGATACATGACGGAGGGAGGAAGCAATCCACCAGGAGCTTGTCAGATGTATACATACTCTTGGTGGCTACAGCCACCGGGAGTGTGTGTGTGTAAAACCCCATGCTTTCAGGTCAGTATGACACAAGGACCTGGCAGTGAAAGGGTTAGAGAGTAAAATGATGCTATAAATAGTGAATACTTGTGAGCTATTATGTATGAGGTCTTCAGTAAATTATAGATAATTAAAAATAATTATCTACTGGTGTCATGCGCTTAGTGCACTGGCACTCACACAGGCTAGAGAGTAACTCCTCTTTTGTGAAAAAAAATATAAAAAAAATTTATATAGATTATACAATTGCTACACAAACCATAATTATATTATAATATGTCCTTTTCAATCTGCAGCACTGTAATTTTCTGTAAAATTCACTGCAATATAGCAACCTGGATGTGTTCTGTAGACAGCTGGTGTACAAAACATCTCCAGAAATGTTGTGCACTAAGATATGTCAGGTTTTAGGCCTCCTCTGCAACAAAATTGTCATTTTTGGTAAGATACTCCATAGGGGTCAATCACTTCTAAAGGGATGAGGTCACAGCAACTTTTCTCATTAGAACATAAAAAGTAAACCAGCTGATTAAAAATCAATTAGTCACTCCCATTCCGAATTAGTATCCAAAGGTCATAGTGGAACAAAAAACGTTTTTCTTCTGAGCAGCACCAAGTAGGAATCTGCAACAAAGTTTATCAAAATCACTGCAATGAACGTTGATCGCCCAGAGGGGTATGTTTTTTTTTTTTCTCAACAAAAGTGGAGTTACTCTTTAAAGATATTGTACACTTTAAAAAGTTTTTGTTGGTTTAACTAGGTTAATACCAGTGCCATTATATTCCCTGTGTCAATTGTTTGCCTTATCTGGGCTCACATGCTGCTGCAGTTTGTAGTGTCATGCCCTATGTCCATGATAATATTCACCTAGCGCCCCATAGCAACTTTTTGTTGCTATGGAGGCGCATATGTGGGCTCACTCCTGAGCTGCGCTGTTTGTTTGGCCATGTCCCCCACTCCCTCCTCACAGGATTTGATTGACAGCAGTAAAAGCCAATGGCTCCCACTGCTGCCTCTGTGTCCTTTGATGAGAGAAAGAGAGCAGTGTAGCTGCGGACAAGCACAATGCTGGATCGAGATAGGTAAGTGAGGGTGAAGGGGCGGACTGTGAGCACTGTTAGACAACAAATAGTTACCTCCTCCTTTCAGGCCTTTGGATTGAAGGTTTAGAAATATTTGTTTACTGTTGGATCCCAGGTCTCCGATCTTGGTCCAGCCAGACAGCTGGAAAAAAATTAAATCAAATAATTATATTAAGGTCTAAAATTATTAATATTATAAATTAGTTTTAGCTTTAGACAAAATAAAACATTAGACAAAATCCTGTCAGCTTTAAAGGCTGGTTTTCACCTATGTGGTTTTTAGTGTGTTTTGCAGAAGCACACTAGAGTCCATTTAATATGGTTTCTTATAGGAAACGTTCACAACTATGTGTTTTCAGGTGCTGCATTTTTGGAAGGAGATGTGGATTTTTGTTTACCCCGCAGCAGATTGCGTTTATAGTGCAATAGACTTTAATGAAACAGCATCATATGACTTTGATGTGACTTTACACTCTCTGGCACTTAAGTTCCATCAAAATATTGCAGAAACATTTTCAAAGTTGCAGCGACTTTGAAAAGATTCCTGCACTTTGATGCATCTTAGCGTACCAGAGAATGTAATGTTGCACTCAATATTTTTCTATTGGCAAAAAAAGTAAAATGCATTGAAAAAGCATGTTCCAAAATGCAAAATGCACTGCAAAATGCACCGGAAAAATGCATCAATCGCAACACGCATAGGTGTGAACCAGGCCTAATGAAGATGATGTTATGAAGCTGATGTTTTAAAAATACTATCAAACAGAAGGTGTTTCAGTTAAGAAATGGCTGAATCACTTACTGATTTTCGTTTCCTAGGGACCATGGAAGTGAGATCTCTGTTCCCAAAAAGATATGAGTTCAAGGTTTGGACTGATCTTTGGCTGCTCATCCGAATGTTAGACTTTTAACGCATGCAGTGGGCACCGAACGTCATATATAATACTATGTGATCACTTCCTGTCACTAGTTACTAAGGAAGCAATGGGGGTCAGCACCCATCGCATCCTTTGCAACCAGTGATGTCACCTGGGTCTTATTAATTTACTAGCTGGGAATCTCCAGCCAACAGGGTGGGGACAGTGTGACATCACTGACCACCACCAATGTTACCCAGGACACCCCATACCTTTGTTTAACGTTAGCAGGAGGGTAATTGCAATTTTGAAACATAGAAGGGTGACCACAAAAAGAAACTAAGTGATCTACTCTCTCATGATATTGTAATTTTTAAAGTTCACAACACAGAGTGTTTTTCCATGAGACCAGAATCTTGACAGACTGCTAGCCATCTAATGTAAACAACCAGCAGGAGGTTCAAAAACAGCTGGAAACCAACTCTAGAGTCTTTGTTGTGATCTTTTAGAAGAAATAAGGTCAGATTAAAAGCAGCTAGAGACATCAGTGACTTGTTTTATATTGCTCTTTAATGACTTGTTCTGTATATGTAAATCATTAAACCTCCATCAACGTGGGGCAATTGCACTTTAAATACACTGATAGTTACCCGACTCACAACATCTGCTGAAAATATGTTCCACTAGTCTTTCTGTAAAACTACACTTTCTAATGTCATTTAAAGATAAAGTAAACTCAGGGAGTAAAATACCGTATTTTTCGCTCCATAAGACGTACTTTTTTCCCCCCAAAAAAGGGAGGAAAATGTCAGTGAGTCTTATGGAGCGAATATAAAGTGGCCAGTCCCATATTTCCACCGCCACCATTTCAGAATACCGGGCCGGCCACTCAGCTGCTCTCTGATGCAGGACCTTACCTGTTCCTCGGTCCAGCGCTGCGCAGTCTTCCCGTGCCGGCTTCTTCCCGCGCCAGCATCTGTGACAGCCGGGTGCCCACTGCACATGCGCGAGCAGCGCTGCGCTTTGTGAATGGTCCGGCTTCTTCTGAGACACGACAGGTCCCAGAAGACGCCGGGCCATTCACAAAGGGCAGCGCTTCTCGCGCATGCGCTGTGAGCACCCGGCTGTCACAGCCGGGTGCCCACAATAAAGGGAGGACAACTCCGCAGAAGTGGGAGCGGGTACCTGTCAAATTCAGGTACCCACTCCCCCCCAAAGGTCTGCAGTCTCTGGTCATCACCTGTACTGTCTGCAGTCTCTGGTCATCTCCTGTACTGTCTGCAGTCTCTGGTCATCCCCTGTACTGTCTGCAGTCTCTGGTCATCCCCTGTACTGTCTGCAGTCTCTGGTCATCCCCTGTACTGTCTGCAGTCTCTGGTCATCGCCCTGTGTCCGCAGTCTCTGGTCATCTCCTGTCGTGTCCGCAGTCTCTGGTCATCGCCTGTACTGTGTCCGCAGTCTCTGGTCATCTCCTGTACCGTGTCCGCAGTCTCTGCTCATCTCCTGTACCGTGTCCGCAGTCTCTGCTCATCTCCTGTACCGTGTCCGCAGTCTCTGCTCATCTCCTGTACCGTGTCCGCAGTCTCTGGTCATCTCCTGTACGTGTCCGCAGTCTCTGGTCATCTCCTGTACTGTGTCCACAGTCTCTGGTCATCTCCTGTACTGTGTCCGCAGTCTCTGGTCATCTCCTGTACTGTGTCCGCAGTCTCTGGTCATCTCCTGTACTATGTCCGCAGTCTCTGGTCATCTCCTGTAGTATGTCCACAGTCTCTGGCCATCTCCTGTACTGTGTCCGCAGTCTCTGGTCATCTCCTGTACTGTGTCCGCAGTCTCTGGTCATCCCCTGCACTGTGTCCGCAGTCTCTGGTCATCTCCTGTACTGTGTCCGCAGTCTCTGGTCATCTGCACTGTGTCCGCAGTCTCTGGTCATCTCCTGTACTGTGTCCGCAGTCTCTGGTCATCTCCTGTACTGTGTCCGCAGTCTCTGGTCATCTCCTGTACTGTGTCTGCAGTCATTGGTTCAGAATATTTTTTTTCTTGTTTTTCTTCTCTAAAACCTAAGCGCGGCTTATGGTCAGGTGCGTCTTATGGAGCGAAAAACACGGTTGGTTTCACCTGCAAGGCAATGCAATAATGTACTAATGCACTGTGCACTAGCACATTATGAAATATTTGCCTTAAAACAAAGCCCTCCAGCGGCGCACTGTTATTGCTGACAGGGTTTCCATCTTTACCCAGTCTTCTTTCCGGGGTTTGCATACTCTGGCAATCTGATTGGCTGAGCCACGATGAAATCACTCCCACGCAGCACGGCGCTCCCGTGCCGTTCCTTAAGGGTGCATGCACAGGTTACATCACAGGCTTCTACACAAGTAAATATCTCCTGACGGTACATGTTTAGGAGATGTACCCACTGGTAAACCTTATTACAGGCTTATCAGTAAACAAAAAAGAAACAGAATGACTGCTACCACTTTAAAGTATCACTAAAGTCAAAAAATCTAAATAACAAACATGTTATACTCACCTGCTTTGTACAGTAGTATTGCACAGATTGGCATTGATCCTCTTGGGTCCCCCTGGGAGCAATCCTGGCTCCTCCTCTTATTCGAATGTCCCCATAGCAAGCTGCTTGCTATGGAGGCACACAGTGTCTGTGCACTCCTGAGCTGTGTGTCTATGGAGCTGCAGTCCATGACCAATCACAGCAGGTCACATGACAGTTGTATACAATGGATGGCTTCCTTTCATGCCATCCATTGTATACAAGTGTGTCTAGCTGTGAATGGTCACAGCGATCACATGCACAGGCTGGGCCAATCACAGCCCATCTGTGTTACGTTATTAGCCGTGGCCAATCACAGCTAATCACAACAAAAAAAGCTGACTGAATCGATTTCATTCAGTTAAATGCTTGCTTATAGCAAAGAAATTCTTTGCTATAAGCAATCAAATTTTGTAAAAAAAAAAAACAAAATACTGATCACTTCCCCAAAGTAGTACAATGTTACTATGGTAACATTATACTACTTTGGTCATAGTGTAATGTGAAAAATAAATCTTAAAAAAGAGAAAAAATGTACTAAAAAATAATAAAAGTAATTAAAAAATGTAAAAAAAAATTAACAATTTTTTTTTTCCGGACGGTCAACAATGTCCCTGATCACTGCCATACCCGTTATATGATTGCGTTGTACTGCACTGTACTGTGACAGTATGTAAAAATAGTGAAAATCATTTTTTTAATTTTTTCATTTTCTGAAAAATTATGACAACAAAATTACAACTTTAAAAAACTCGCCATGCCTCTTATGAAATACATCTACTTTGCAAAAAGTGGTCATTTGGGGGCAGGGGCGGACTGACAACTCATGGGGCTCCCAGACAATAGGGGATCATGGGGCCCCTGTGTCCTTGCCCAAACTCAAAAAAGCCTATGAAAAAGGTACCAGGGGCATCTCATGGGGCCCCCTACTGACCCCGGGCTCTCGGGCAGTGCCCGAGTTTCCAAATGGTCAGTCCACCCCTGTTTGGGGGATATCTGTACTGTTCTGACATTCTTGGACCTCAAGAAATTAGATTGGCTGTCAGTACTTCAGGATTGATCAATATTCAGATCTATACCATAGTTTGTGAACTCTATAACTTTCCTACAAACTAAATAATACATCCTAATTTGGGTTATTTTCACCAAAGATATGTAGTAGAATACATCTTGGCCTAAATTTCTGAAGAAAAATTACTTATTTGCAAATTTTTATAACAGAAACAAAGAAAAAAACGTGTTTTTGTTTCAAAATTTTGGGCTTTTTTTGTAAATTTAGCAAAAAATAAAAAACCCCAGTGGTGATTAAATACCACCAACAGAAAGTTCTAGTTGTGTGAAAAAAATTATAAAATTTTAGTTTGGGTACGATTTGGGTATGATCGTGCAATTATCATTCAAAGTGCGACAGCGGTGAAACCTGAAAAATGGCCTGGGCAGGAAGGGGGTAAAAGTGCCCAGTATGGAAGCAGTTAAATTACTATTAGGGTTCATGCACAATGGGCTTTAAAAAGCTGCTTCTACAGGAGTTTTGTGTTTAGCTTGTAGAAGCAGCTCAATGCTATCCTATGTGTCCATAACATTGGGATGTTTATTTTCAGCTCAGCATTTAAAGGCAAGAAAAAAACACCCAGTATTGCGTTTTTGAGTGGAGTTTTCTGGCAAAAAAAAACACTAAACGCCAGTACAAAACCGCTGTATATGAGCATTTTTTTCTGTCAAAGGAAGTTGCATTTTTTTTTTAGCCCAGTGTGCATGGACCCTTACAAAGGTGACAACATATAATACGAGGAGTATATTTTCCACAAGATGGGAAAAAATCTGATTCTATCGCTTAAAACCGAAAACTCAAATTACCATGACTCTTATAAGCTAATAATAATCTCTGTTCAATAAGGACATTACAGATATGTTACATCCTCCTGTGAAATGCTGCATCCCTCCCCCATGACATTGCGTACTCGTATTGATAGAAAACTCGCCATATCATTACAATGTTCTATTTGTTTGAAGTAGATAACAGTTAAACATTAGAAAGCCAACAGAAACAAGAAACAAGCAAGGAAACGGAAATACACAAAATCAGCATAGCTTATTTTATCTGTTTATTAAAACGTATCTAACCAAAAAACTAAAATGTAATCCTTAGATGTGGTGGCTACATTAGTTTTCTTTTCTCAGCCTTTTTCCTTTACTTTTTACTAGGTAATCCCTTGAATAAAGCACTTCATGTCCCTGGGTGGCTGTTCTAACTCCTTTACCATAGGTTCACACCTATGTGTTTTCGGCAGCGTTTTGCAGAAACACAGTACAGTCCATTTAACATGATTTCCTCTGGGACATGTTCACACCTGTGCGTTTTCACCCAGTGCTTTTTTTTGGAAAGGGTCTGGGACTTTTTTGAACACAAGTTGCATTTTTGGTTCTATGGAAATGCTGCAGAAAAGCTGGGCTGGACTTCAAACACATCTGTCTTTGTTCATCTTCAATACATGGGATTAGTATTTTTTTTTAAAGAAAGACAATATTGTTTTATACTTCCAGTTCACCTCCCAGGAAGTGACAAGAACACTGCATTTCTAGCAAAAGATTGACACTTTTTTTTTGTACTTGGTACAAATGTTTTAGCCAGAAAAAAAAAAAACTAACACAGCCACATAAGGTAATAAGCTGGCATGTATACAATTTTTGTTCTCAGGTTTATACTGTATATTCTTTAGAGTGGTTCTAAAGGCAGAAGGTTTTTTTTTTTACCTTAATGCATACTATGAATTAAGGTGAAAAAAAAATCTTCAGGGTGCAGCTCCCCCTTATACTTACCTGAGCCCCATCTCGCTCCAGCGACGTACATGAGAGCAAAAGCTCTCCTAGGTCTCCCTCTTTATTAGCCTATACAGCAGCAGGAGCCATTGACTCCCACTGCTGTCAGTGCCAATGAGGAGAGAGAGGGGTGGGGCTGAGTCGCAGCTCTGTGTGTGAATGGACATGCAAAGCAGCGGCTTAGAAGCGAGCCTGCTTGGGTGCCCCCATAGTACTCTGCTTGCTCTGGGGGCACATGGCAGGAGGAAGGGGTCAGGAGCACCAGCAGGGGACCCGAGAAGAGGATCAGGGCTGTTGTTTACAAAACCACTGCACAGAGCAGGTAAGTATACAATATGTTTTGTTTTTTTTCTAATTGCCTTTAATATCACTTTAACTTGGAGAGTTTCTGTTATCATTATGATTTAAAAAGGAGCCAAACAACTATTTGATAATAAATGGCTTCATATGATCATCATCCTTCAATAAAAGAGCATTTTTTGGCATGATCAGTCATATTTTCAATATCAATGCCAAAATTTCACAATTTCTGCCAGGGTATGTAAACTTTTGAGCACAACTGTACTACACTATGGAAGTTCTATCTTTGACTTCTTTTCAAGCCATTTGAAGACCCTTTAAAGATGTGTTTGATCGTTTATATCTCCTAACCGCTGGGGACATCTCCCCGAACCCTGGTCCTCCACCACCTCGCTCACCCACAAGGCACCCTCCTACTTTCATGAACTGCCGCAACCCTCTCAATCTAATAGCTGTCCCTCTGCTCCCCAAAACCACCCCCCCCCCCCCCGTTTTTCATGTGCACTCCTGAACGCCCGATCGGTTTGCAACAAACTCACCGCCATCCACAACCTCTTTGTCTCCCGCTCCTTCAACCTCCTTGCGATCACTGAAACCTGGATCCAAGCCACTGACTCTACCTCCCCCTGCGGCACTCTCCTATGGAGGTCTCATCTGGACCCACTCACCCAGACCCAGCGGTCGAAAAGGTGGTGGGGTTGGTATGCTCCTGTCACCACTGAGCACCTTCCAAGTCCTCCCAAACCTCCCCTCTCTATCCTTCTCCTTCTTTGAGGCCCACTGCATCCGACTATTCTCTCCAATCCCTCTGAGGATTGCAGTAATCTATCGGCCTCCAGGGCCCGTGTCCCGCTTCCTCGACAACTTATCCGCTTAGCTACCCTTCTTTCTCTCCTCCGAGCTACCCACCATCATCCTTGGAGACTTCAATATCCCTATCAACATCAATAATCTGGCTACATCCCAACTCCTCCACTTAACCTCTTCTTTTGCACTCGCACAGTACATACAATCCACCATCCACTCCGACGGGAACACCCCGGACCTTGTTTTTTC